AATAATGTTTTTAAATGCATAAAATGAAATCCAGAGGATGTCACAGAAACCAATTATATGGAAATAGAAAGAATAAGGTCCCCTGTGAAGGAAACACATGCTCTCATTTACATTTTCAAAGTATTGCTCTGACCGCTATAGATAGAATAGACTGGAGGGGCCAAGGATGGATGCACCGAGGCCAGCGAACTTGGGGCCAACCTCTTTTCATTTATACCATAGGACAGGAAGCTCTAAAGTAGTATTGTGTAACACAGCCTTTTGAGTGCAGGAAGAAAAATTTATAACTTCTGTTTATATTTCATTTTCCCTTTTATTTTTTAAAGTCAACCTAGTGGGTCACTCCACTTTTTGTTTGTTTTTTTTTGTAAATGAACTGGAATTGAATAGAGAATATCAGAGTGCATTCATTAACCTGTAAGACAGCATGTTTTGTTTCATGTAACCTTTGTCTCATTTATACACAAACATGCATATATATGTTTCCTTGTGTGTTGAGAATTCCAATGTAAAGTACATTTCTTTTTTTCTTTTTCTATTTTCAATTATAGTTTACTTTCAATTTTATTTTGTATTGGTATCACGTGTACAGCATAGTGGTTAATCATATACTTTACAAAGTGTCCCCCCCCACCCTGATAGTTCCAGTACCCTCCTGGCACCGTACATATTTATCACAGTATTACTGACTCTATTCCCTGTGCTGTACTTCTTTTAAATGTGTATATTGAGTGGGCGTTTTATAAAATCCTAATATATTTGGACATTAGTACACTTATATAATTCATGAGTGAATCTACATAGAATGAAGGGGCATGTCCAAAAGGTATTTATGTGTTTTTAATCAATCAAATTTGATGATCATGATGTAGGGAGAGTTACTCTGTAAGAAACTAACAAAGGCCACATTGGTTTAGGCCACTTGCATTTCAGGTGCCATTTTGTGGGAGAGCGTGAATTCTTGCCATGATTCAACCTTGCTAAATGTCAGTCCTTTTGCTCAAGCATCCTTAATTCTCTCTAAGAACCTCATTTGGTTATAAATCTATTTATGCCTGATTAGACCTGCTGTCGCCTCTGAGGTGACGTGTATCCCTCCAGGGAAACAAGTTTCCTAGGGTTAATTTCCAGATAGGAAAGGTAGTTATTGGCATTCCTGCTAAAATTCAGGGGCCTCTGAAGAATGTGTTCCACTTCTAGCAGTGTGAACTGTCTGGGCACTGTCGTGCTCCCTCGTTCGTCCTCTTGGGATGTGTCTGCCTTCACTCACACACTCCTTCTGGACCGGAGTCCTAATGTTTTAAGCGGCTCTCCCATCGCCTGTCTTTTTGACATTTTCGTTCACTCTTGAGGTGCAGTGAGTTGAGTGGTGGGCATTATCCCAGGTGCCATGCAGTACAGTGTTGTGCAGAGGTGTGACATTTTCTGTTCTATACCCAGGAATAGTATCTGGAGTACAGCAAGGAGGGAAGGGAGGGTGAGGGAGATGAGCAGATTTTGCATGAAATCTCCAATTATGACTGAACTGCCTATTTCTTTTTTCTCGCTCCCTTTCTCCTTCCTTCCTTAACTTCCTCCCTCCCTTCCTTTCCTCCCTCCCTTCCTTCCTTTGTTTCTAAAAAAAGACTGTCTTTTCTTTCATGAAGAAAGAAACCCAAGCTTTTATAAAATGAGTAGAAATCCTCAGGTAGGCTGTTAGGATGAAAACTAATACATTGTGGATATAAATGGTTCTACTTCCAAGATCAAGCAGTGCGTGCTGGCAGTCTTGGCCATGCAAGATATTGACAATTTCACTGACCTGCTTGTGAGTAGAAATTGGTTTATGGAAGTGGGTATAGAACCCAGAAATGAGGTCAGCCTAATTCTACTATTCCTGAGCCCTAAATATGAAGTCATATTTCCAATTCTTTATATTTCTTTCTGCTTCTCTGATTTCTTAATTCCACCTGTTTCAGGTACTGCTCCTTCATTTGGCTGAGTTCTTTCTTGGTTATTTAAAATTTCTTATTAGTGAGTATTTGCAGAAATGGCAACTTGTAGGTAATTGATCAGACACTGGAAAAATAGCTTGATAAGTCACTATAATGTAACTTAGCTAAACTCTCATGGTACAAAGAGGCTTGTCCTCAGTATGATTGTGTATAGCACGTAGCCATAAGCAGGAGCAATGTTAGTGATGTGATTCAGTCAAGTCAAGCTACTTGTAGTTGCTGTTTACGCAGTTGCCAAAGGGACACTGAAATAGCTACTGGATAGGAGAGTTGGTTTGTATGAGAATTAACTAAGAACCTACATGATTTCCTGGGAAGTAACTAAATCCTGGATGTTATTTGTCAAAATAAAACAAAACAGAACTAATTTAAAAAATTCCACCAGGGGAAAAGCACACAGTTTGAAATGAAAAAACAAGCAACCAAAGACACCCACTTTAATCTCTTTCATTTTTTCCATGTCCTTCCGTGCCCTTCAGAATGTGGTTGCCTGTGATGGATGGGTCAGTTCGATTGTGGGATTGATTCTGGGGACTGGATGTCGCTGCTCGTTGTAGTCGAATGTCATAGGATTTCGAGGTGCCTTGTTGCATCTGGGCTGTGTTTGGACCCATGGTTCCAGCAACCTCCAACCTTACTTGCGTTTGAAGGCCTTTGGGGTGGAGGGCATTTTGAATTTCTGAAGTCTTTGGTGCCTCATTCTCTCGTGTTTGTTGTTGTTCATGCCAGGCTTCCTTTAAGGAGCAAAGCCTTGTGGGTAATCAATAGCATTAAGAAGGATGCCAACATGCCACTCTGAGAGGGCACTTCTCTCTCCCACTGGCATCTCTTTTTTCCCCCTCAGCATCCTGCTCAGAGCAGATCTAAAGAATGCTCAGTTTTTTTGCTCCATTCTCCATCAACATACTGAGAACATATTTAAATCTTAGACTCTGTTTTCTAATATTTCAGTTGCCTAGAATAACTCCAGACCCAGTGGTCTGGAGCCTGAGCTCTGAAAGTTTTTATTGACCCTATTAGACCTGTTTCTGCAGCAGCCTCTGAGCACACAGGTGAATTGGGGAGGAAAGGGAGTCCAAATTAATTGCATATTTACCTGTGCCAGGCTCAAGAAACGTGTCTTACACATGACCACTTAAGCCTCACGATAAACACAGGACTCTCACACCCATCTGACAGATGCGGCCACTGAGGCTCAGTTCTATGATAAACTCAGAAAGATCCCAGGTGTGCTCACCCCAAAGCTGATTTAACGTCTCTCTTCTTCACCTTCTGTTCAGCAGCTACACTTTTCTAAAATTTTGGCTTTTAGGATCCAGAAGGTGAACTTTTAACACAGCTCAGTGATTCATTTTTCCCCGGTTTCCAAAGCTGAATGGGTTCCCTCCTGTGCTCCCAGCCCTCCTTCATGTCTCCTTGGTTCCCTTTCAAAGGAACGCCCGCGTTTCTCATCCCTCTTCGCTGTGGGTCTTACAGAGCAGTGGCTCACTAGGGCACCGAGTTAATGAAATAAAAGTTTCAATCATGTTTGGTTTGATTCTAGGTGATACAAATAAAGAATGGTGATCACTTTGTAGTCAGGCTTAAAGGGAAGAGAAAAGGTGGAAAGAAGAAAGTGAGCCAAGTATAGTCCTGGGCAATGTCTCTGTAAGTGCTGCCTAGTGAAGGTTTAGCTGTGAAAATGGAGAAATAATGGGACAGCCATTGATAGTCCTTTGGCCCTTGTGTACCCTGAAATGTGGGGTTTGACGTTTATAATAATCACAAATTATGTGACTCCTCCATGTGCCAGGCACTGTTCTAATTAATAGATAATACATATTAATCCACGTAATGTTAATTTATCCCCTCCAAGCCCTTGGAGGTACATACTATTATATCTAAGAAAACAGAGGCAAAGAGAGGGTCACTGACTGACAATTAGGGGTAGAACTGAAAGCTGAGCCCAGGAAGGCAGGTTTCAGAGCTCACGACCATGATGCTAACCTGCCTCTCTGTCACAGGGCTCAGTAACTCTCATGACTTGATGTGGTTTTAAAGATTATTTTCCTTCTTAATTCAAACCAACAAACCATACAGTTGGAAGGGTAAATATTTGTCATGTTTGGTGACAGACATTGACGGGCTAAAAAAAAAAAGTTGAAGGAAAAGTCATGTACTTTCTTTTCCATATCCCTCCATCTCTATTTACTGTGTGAAAAGGTCACTTGAGTACAAGAGCTCAAATTTCATGCTTTTAAGCTGCTTCCCTGTGGCTAAAACCCCACTCTACAAATTGACTTTAAAAATATTTTTTAATCATGTGTATCTCTCTCTAATACGAATGTTCTGGAGTCATTATTCACGGGCTTCTTAAATAGGACGTGCTGACTGTGTTTCACAGAAATGCCAGGAATCACCAAGTTATTTTTTTGCTTTACTCTCAGATTATAGCCCCTTCTCGTGACCATCCATCCACTCACATTTACTGGAAGGAGCAGTGGTTCTGGGAGACCCAAACTGTTTGCCTCGTCAGGTGGCTACCTGGGTACAGTTTGTGGTGGAGGGGAGAGGAGGCAGGAGACTGAAAAGGCTGAAATGGTAAATTACTGTAGGTTCTGGAGAAAAATAGATTAGAAGCATTTGTGGTTCAGATGAAAATAGCACATTTCCTTTCTGCTTGGACTGTGGGGGTCAGAGTGCTCCGGGGAATAGAAAATAAATAAAAATTGATCCCTCACCAGTCGAAGGAAATGCTCTGACTCTGGGAACTGCAATGACAGCTCCAGATTTGGGGATCTTGTGAAACCACTTTTGAAGGTTAAAAAAAATATGTAACAACAACAATAACAACCAAAACACCGGGAGACTAAAGACAATGTGAGGTGCTGTGTTTAGGAGTGCAGCCTTTCAAGAATGATTGATACAGCCCTTTTCCAAGACTGGCCAACAGGTAGCAGACTCTGAACAGGTGTGTGGCCCTCTTGTTCCTGGCACTGACCGTGTTCATTTCTTCCCTCCTTGCAGGTGAGAAGCCTTATAAGTGCTCGTGGGAAGGGTGTGAGTGGCGTTTTGCACGAAGCGATGAGCTCACAAGGCACTACAGGAAACACACAGGTGCAAAGCCCTTTAAATGCAACCACTGCGACAGGTAAAGAAACTTCGCAGCCCCTGGATGGGGAGGGAAGACGGTGGGTTGGAGGGTGGGCTGTCCAAGTGCTCTTGGATTCATCACAAGCCTCTCCCACAGAGTCTCGGGTCTGGGACTGCCTTTTACTTCTCCACCGAGAAAACCAATGAGATAAGGTTGCCTTCTTGCATGTAATCAAGCGATGATATAAATTCTCGGTTCAGTTACACAGGTATTTACTGCACACCAGCTTTGGGCCCGGAACCGTGTTAGTCACTGGATATCAATAAGACACAATTCCTACCCTCGGGGAATTGATGAGACAGATCATTTTAGTATAATGTGAAGAGCAATAGGATGGAGAATGGTTACCTTTAGCTGCTGCTTCTGATCTTTTTATTAACATCAATACCATTTTCCCTCATCCTTAATAATGTGAAAGAGTAGAAAGCCTGCCTAACGGAAGGACAGCGAGTTATAGGGCTTTTCTCTGAAGTATTATGAGAAATAAATGTACTGAAAACAGTTCCCATTCTTGGGGGGGCGGCCTGCACCATTCTTTCTCCTTTGAAAATAGACACAAAGGTCTAAAAGATGGTGAAGCTTTGAAAATGTATCCTGTAATTTTGTTTCAAACCTTCAGCGTTTGATAGTGGAGGAAAGAGCACATAACAGCAGAAACTACACTAGTAATAGTATCTGACAGCCTTGGCATTATCAACCAATAAACCCCAAAATGGAGACTCTGCAGGCCAAGGTGAAGGCAGGATTAGGTTTAGACATAATCAAATAATGGGCTTGCATCTGAGCGTGTTATCCTTCTAATCCTATTTCTGTGTTTAAAAGGAAGCTTAAGAAAATTAACCATCTTTTTAATGCAATACTAAAGGTCTCGGTTATGATGAGAAAAATGCTTCTAATACGATAAAAGCCTTGAGAGCCTCAGGGTTCCCGGCTGGGCCGGCAGCTCTCAGGGTGGCAGGAGGGGCTGCAGGATGTCCACGGGGGCCTGGCTCTCCTGGAGGAAATTGGGCCCGCGCATCCTGCCCCCGCCCCGCAGCCTTCCTCCGAGCGGTGCGTGTTTGTTTGGAGAGCAGGTCAGGGGTGGCCGAGCCTCCCTGGTGGCCAGTTGGCTTGGTGCTCCTTAAGATGCTTATAAAGGAGCATTCATATTTTTCCTCCCTTTTTTTTCCTCCTTCCTGAAGAGGCTATTTTCCTCTTATCTTCACTCTTTAAGAACTAAATAAAGCCCCCATGCCTCCTGGAGCCCAGAGATAACCTCCCACCCCAGGGCTGAGGAAGTATACTTCTCGAAGCTATTGTCCCTCATTCCTTTGGAGCTTTCTTCTGCTACCCAGGGCTACAACTTGTTTTTTCATGTCTATCCCATTACCTAGAAGTCCCAGCAGCTCTTCAACAGATTGTACATACTCCAGTCACGTTGCTCCTTATGTGACAACTTCCCCCAGCTCCCACCTCAAGCTTATTCCTCTGTAGCCCAGGCTACTGATAAAGCAGCTACACAGATGAGGAGTCTTTGCTCAGTGTCCTTTGAGGAGAGCCCTGTGTCCACTGTGTGAGCCACCAGAGCATGGAACAGGAGGCGCACGCCCAGGTCCCGTCCCTGAGGGACGGTGGGGTGTCACTTGGGGACTGCGCATTACGGAGTGCCCTCATCCCTGGAAATGGGCAGAGAGTCTGCATTTCTTTCTTCAAACCAGCTGCCTTACTGTGAAATGTACAGCTGCATAGCGTTGGTATATTCGAATTAAATCTGATTGTGTGATTTATGTGAGAAATAATTCAAACCAACTAGATATTTCAGTGGAGGATATGTCAGAGAGATGGGCAATTTGGTTAGTCGTTTTGCTTTATTTTCTTCATCAAAATATACTATGGTTTCTGGAGCTAGAAATTTTCTTAATAGATGGTACAAGTTCTGCGATGTGGTATTTGGGAAAGACTGAGCAGCTCAAAGTCCTGCAGCACTGGCCAGTCGTCAGTGCATTTCCAACAACGTCAGAAATGAGGGATTGGACTCTTGTTCATGTCTCATGACACGCAGCACCTTGCCTTTCAATTGCAGGGATTGTGCTAAGAATAGAGCAGGTCTGGGAGGTGGCATGGGGAATTGGAGTGGTCCCAGAGCATATGAAAGGAAAGCCTGGGGTGACTGGGGAGTTGGCATTCCTTAGAAGACTTTTACCTTCAGAAACAGAGGGCATCTGTAGCCCTTAGCAGGACACTGGATCCTGTTGGCACTGTGGTATGTATGAGCATGAGAAACCTCCCTCTTCCCTCTTCTAATTTGAGCAACAGACTACCCTATTTAGAGGCTAAGCCAGGATTGGGGTTTCCTTTCCTCAAAGCATGTATACTTTTATTTTGTGTATAGGCTAGAATAAAAAATACATGTGTGTGTTTGTTTTGCTAACATTTAAAATTGCTGGATGCCATGAAAATCTGTATTTCTGGCTTTGTCTGGGAAAATCAGATGAACTGGTAACAGTGGGCTTGTGTTCCCATGTGGCCATAATGTCCTGGAGCCTAATAGTAATCACAACCCTTTTAAATGGCTGTGTGGTCACTAATTCCTCACTGTTCCCACTGCTCCCTGTGGTCTCCCAACAGGAAGGCAGACCTACAGTTGACATGGATCATCACACCTGCCCTGTAGTCTACTCTCACAGAGCAGTATTTCTTCATATCCATGCCTATCAAAAGCGGAGTCAGATAGTACTGTTTCTTACATGGACCCACTGCCCGCAGTCACTTTACCTGCCTGACCCCTGAAGGCACTGGGCTTTGTGACCTCTGGCTTCAGGTTTGGGTGAGGGAAGAAAGCAGTGAGGTGGCTCTGCCGTTTCCTTACCATCACACTGAACCTTGCAGTCCACTGAGTGACCAGCTGTGAGAGGATGAGTCTTGTCTCTCAGCCCATAGAGCTTGAGGCTGCTGATGGCAGTAAAAGTTAGCTGCTTCCACCAGTGATAATAGGCGGGCCATTGTTCTGCAGACTCAGCCCAGTTATCACCCAGGGGGACTGCTACCAGGGTGCTGCCTTCATCTTGGGCAGTTGAGAGGAGGTATTTTGATCATTGAGTCAGCCCCCTTATAGATGGTAAGAAATACCAGCCAGTTTCTAGCCCTTTGGTTCCCTAAGCTATTGGCTTTATGCCCACCTGACTTTAGAGTGCCATTTTCATAGGCAAGGGAAACGACCAGAGGGGTTTGACTGGTTCTCTGTAATGAACACACTTCAATCATTAAAGACCTTCTTATTTAAGGTCATATGCCTGCTGTATAGTCATAAATACCCTCTGGGGATGTATTACCCTTAGAATTACTTGATTCTGCATTTCTAGATGCTGAGTTTATCTATTACCTTTTACTGTTCCTATGTGGAGCTCAGTAAGTATAAGTTAATAAATATAAATTAGTCATGAATAAGTAGCTTGCTGGTGTATTGAATTTAAATAAAAATCTCAGTGGTGAGGGACCTAGTCTAATGCTGAATATCATATGCTTCTTAGAATTTGAGCAAATAATGATGCTAGTTTGATTCTGGTGGGGTGCAATTACATTTCATAGCATGTTAAAGATCTGGTTTGGTTTTTTCACTTGTTTTTCCCCCTGAAAGAAATTAAAGGCTTGTACATACCTTGCTAGATACCTGGCACCAAGTAGGCAATTGGTAAGGGAAGAATAAAAGTCCAGAACATATACATTACTGAATGGTTATTTCAAATGAAGTCGTGTATCAAGAATACTATTTTCCTCTAAGTTCCCAGAATATAGAAAGGAAAGGAAAGAGATTTTTCCCACTCCCAAGACCTCTCCTTCACCTACCATCTCAAATCCCTACATCTCCCTTTTGACCAGGCAGAATACTTCATCTCTGCTTTGTTGCTTTCTCACAGGCCCTTACTGATCAGGCCTGGCCAGATTCATTTATGGACTAGTTTCCTGGTAGCTGCCATTGCAAATTGACAAAATAATATCAGTTTTATATATCTTTACACATTTATTATCTAATGGTTCTGTAGAAGTCCAACATAGGTCCCACTGGGTTAAAATCAAGGAAGGTATTGGCAGGGTTGCTTTTTTCCTAGAAGCTCTAAGGGAGAATCCTCTTCCTTGTCTTCTTCAGCTCCTAAGGGTTGGTTGCATCTTGTGCCTCCTTACCCTGTCCCCTCCCATCCAAGCTGTTGAATCCTTCTCACACTGCCAGTCTCTCTGGTTTTCTCTTACAATTTCCTCTTCCATTTTTAAGGACCCTGTGATGACATTGGCTCTACCCAGATAATATAAAATAATCTCCCTGTTTTACTCTCAGCTGACTAGGAAATTAATTCCATCCATAACCTTCATTTTCCTTTGCCTTGTAGCTTAACATATTTCCAGGTTCTGGGAATTAAGTGTAGACATTTTGGGGGAACCATCCATTATTCTAGCTACTACAAACTCCTTTAATTGACATCTCAGCCCTCCCTTCTTCTCAGCCTAAAAAGCAGGTGTGGCTAAGATAGCCTGGGTTCTGCAGTCAGACTACTTGGGTTCAGATGTTAGCTTTGCCTCTTTATGATGACTGTCGCATGTGGTGGTAGGAATAAGCATGGTACCTTCTTTATAGGGTTCTTGTAAGGATGTTAACTTTAAAAGGGAAATAGCTGTAAAAAGAACTGTTCAACTTAGATCTTCTTTCTCTAAGCTGCTGGGATAACAGAGGGAGAAAAGGAAGAGGCAGAGAGGGAGGAAGGGAAGAGAAGAGGCAGTGGGCACTACTGGGTGTACCTTCAGGACAGAACAGAATTATGCACATTAAATGCTAAGTTCCCTGTAGGCTGTATTGTTTTTCTGTGTACCAATGGCATCAAGTACTTGCTTTTAAAGAAAATGTAGCACTGTTTTATAGCAAATCAAATCCCCTTTAGATGGTACTCTAAGGGATTACCCAGAAATCTTGTTCATTCTAAATCAGAGCCTGAAACAAGTTGGTATAATTAGAACCATTATTATTCAACATTATTGGATTCGAATATTTTCTACTATACTTTTCCCATTCTTATGTGTTTTTTACTGTATTTTTGTTCTGTTTTACTTCATTTCCTTGGGGTTCTATCCTGCACATGTACCTCTTTAAGAAATGAACACAAACAATGTTTAGAGAAGGTTGGGGTCGGGATAGAGTGAGGTTTTAAGAATAAACGCAGGGAAATCCTGCACTGAGCAGGAAAACTTGCTCACCAGAACAGGGCAGCTTGCTAACATCCTAGCAAGAATTTTGCACTGTGAAGGTTTCCTGGGCCTCAGAGGAGCCTGGGACTGTTCTCTCAGGTAGGAGAGTGGCCAGTGTTAAGAGTCCAGGGGGAGAGCACACTCAGAGCTAAGAGTGACTGCTGTCTTATGTGCTGACTTCACTGGGCTTCTCACCAGAACCTTAGATCGTAGGCTGTGGGAATGTGGAAATGCCCACTTTATTAGTTATAAGAAACAGACACCTGACTCAGGCTAGTGTTAGCCTCAAAGGGTATTTATTTGCTCCGGTAGCTAAGAACAGAATTAGATTCGTCTTTAGGCTTGGCTGGATCCAGGTCCTCAGATATTGTCATCAGGATTCTCTCTCTCTCTCTCTTCCTATCCCCTGGCCCAGTTTTTCTTTCTTGACTTTGTTCTCAAGCGGGCTATTTCACACATGGCAATATGCATACCAGCAGCTCCAGCTTCAGTCTTAGTAGCTTAGCAGCCCCAGTGGAAAGAAAGCTTCTTTCTTCCTATAGTGTCAGCAAATGTCCCAGGGCTGGCTCTCATTGATCTTTATGGGTCACGTGACTACTGCTTAGCATGTCACTCTGGTCATAACTTCAACCTTGGGAGGAGGGTCAGCCCCATACAACTGAGAAGGCAGAAGAGTTGCTATCCAAAGGAAAAGCAAGTTGGTGATGTTAGAACTGAGAGGGAGTGAAGACAACCACTGCATCTAGTCTGAAGGTTGAGGAAGACACCCAGCAGTGGACCTTAGGTACCAACAGTTCAGAAAAGTGGGCTCGCAGGTCTACCTGGGATCTCATTTCAAGTGTGTCACTCACTAGCTATGTGCACCTAGCCTCAGTTTCCTTACCACACGCACACAAAAGGGTGTCAATACTGAGCATGGAAGCTTGCTGAGGAAGCCGCTGGGGTAATATTGGGGAAGCACCTAGCACACCCTGTGTATTATACCACACTCAATAAATGTGAGCTCCCTTCTTCATTCCCTTTCCTGAGATGAATATAGGGTGCCCGTGTGGACCTGTAGGCACCACAGGCAGTGTGTCTGGGCTTCCATTGTGAAGCTCAAGGCTGCAGTCTGGGTGTTAAAATGTTAGAGTTCCACCGTTTGGCAATACAGGCTAATCATTCGTAGTGTATTTATAGTGTATGGACATGGCATGTTGTTTCCTAAGCATCTGCACGTTCTTTTTTTTCTTTAATCATGACAATTATGAAAATAATAGCTAATATGCATTGAGATCTTACTACGTGCCAGGCAGTAGTTTAAGCACTTTACAGAGCTGGTCTCATTTAATCGTCACAACCAAGCTATGAGGTGAGTGCTATAATTATGACCATTTTATGGAGGAGTAATTAAGGCACAGAGAGGTTAACATGCTCAGAATTACACAGCTTTGGGGAGAGCTGGGATTTGAACCCAAGCAATCTGACCCCTGAACTCGCCTTTCTAACGCACTGCCTTGTTTCTCAGCACATAAGCACTGCCTCTCTTTGAGGCAGGGTTAATAGTTTTCCTAAGGGGTGATGGAAGTTGAGTTCTTTACTTGAACCTCTCTGATTTCCTTGTTGTTGTTTATGTTTCCTAGGTGTTTTTCCAGGTCTGACCATCTTGCCCTCCACATGAAGAGACATATCTAAAAAAACCCTAAAGGCCAGAGTTGCCATGACGTCGGCCGTTGTCTGAAGGAAACGCCATGAGGCAGGGGGCTGGACTTCAGGCGGGGACCCATTGCCCCGCAGAAGAAAGTTCTCACTTCTAAACCTCTGTGTACACACACACACAGACACACACACTTACACACGCTCTCACGCACAGACCCCCTCCACACACTGTCATGCACTCAGCTCTATTTAAGATATATACGTCTGTTCTTTATGCCTTGCCCTAGCCAGGTGGCAGAAGACAAAGGAGGAGGCCAGGTGAACTCAGCAAGGCGGACCGGCTGCTCACTTCAGCACTCTTGGAATTATTGCCCGCTGTTGCCAATGGAAATCAAAGACATTGGATGCGACGTCCCCGCAGGTGGACAGCCAGCCGTAAGAGGGGCTTATCTCTAACTTGCTTCTCAGTGCAACTTGATAGGAGAATACAACGTCTTAAAGTTGCATATGTGTAGCACTAATGTTTCTTTTTAAATAGTTGGGGGAAAATGACCTAGAAAACCAAATTGCAGTTTGGTAGCCAAAATTAACTCTTGGTTTATTTGTCCTTTGTGTGTGAAAAGTCCTACTATTCCGTGCGTCCAACTTCCTCAAAGAACTGTTGATCGGTTTTGGTTCTTCTTAGTACCATTGAGATCTTTTCCAGTCGATACCAACGGCCTTAGCGGCGACAGACTCTGGAATAACACCTTACACCTTTCTGGCCTGCATTTCTCTAGACTTCACTCTTAAGGGAGGAGTTTTCTTTTCTTACTTTTTGACTCTTGCACACCATATGCACTAGGGATTCTGGAAACTTCTAGCATGACTGCAAAGTGGCCAAGAGAATAAAGTCCTTGACGATAAATCACAGTCTATCCCTTGAGCCTCACCTTATTGCCAGTGCTAGATTTTTTCTTTTTAATCTCTCTGTTTTTGCTAACGAAAACTTGAAAAGCTTATTTGGAAGCTTAAATGTTTTATCTTTTCTCCATGGACTAAACCTCTCCAGGACTCTCTCAGCACCTGGATGTCCAGCTCTCGAAGCAGCCAATCAGATGGGACATCACAGTTCTCTCATCCCCTTGAGGCATCATGACCTCAGCTCATAGTGGTCAACCCTGTGCTGTGTGTCATTGCTACCCTGTACCCAGTTTCAGCATAGATGTCGCTAGTCTCAAAGGGCAGCTGCATATTGAACCTAACTCTGGGTTATGACCTGACAAAAAGCCAAAAATATCACTCTTTCCAGGAGTGGGGAAAACGGAAGATGCCTCCCAAGTCTAGTGACTTCAAAAAACATCATCTATCTTCCTCTCTCATACCCACTGAGCTCATGTTATTCCACTTGTTAAAACATACAATTCAGAAACGCCATTGTGGGAATGAAGGGTGGACGTTTAAGGAAAGGGTTGAGATGTTTCTCTCACGGTCTGTCTGAAAGGAGAGACATATGTCTGATTTTTTTTTTTCTGGCTAGGCCCATCATGGCTTGTGACCTAGAGCACCCAGGATCAACAGAGGCCTCACATTTACTCTGCAGACTGACTCCAAGGGGGTTACATTCCTTACTTTTCATCCCACACACATATCCAATATCGATCTCTGTATCTACCCGCATTTCTAGCTAGCTGGCACTGGCCTCAACTCCAAAGACTGCCTTTAGGACCATTAAATGGCCTATGCAAGCAAGTGGGGTGGTTATTAGGACAGATTGTATATTTTGTATATTCTGGGACCATCCCTTCAAGACACGTCTAAAAAACAAAAATGGCATTTGGTCCACACATGGTTGCTGCTCCTTCGTACCAGCTGGCTCCCCTCCTGCCCTCCTTTGACTGTTTGACTCATTGACTGTTACAGTGCCACCCCATACCTATTTGGGATGCAAAACTGAAGTCTCTAAAAGGAAATAATAGTATAAGAAACACAAATACATTTATGACAGCAACTTTCAAGATCCTTGGCATTTGGTTTCTCAGCTCTCTGCAACCTTTGATTTCACTGAAATGTTGAATCTACTCATCTGAGGGTAAAGGAGCTTCTTTGTCACAAATGTTGTAGCTGCCAATTGGACTCTTGGGGCATTCTGAGGTCTGGCCCTTAAACTTTACTTTCTCTTTCCTTTTTTCAATTTAGACCAAAAAACAAAAAAATACAAAAAAAAATAAAAATCAACCCTACAACAAAACAATGACAATAAAAAAACCACCCTAAAACACACACACAAAATCTGCCCATTTGCCGGAGGCAATTATGTATATGTTAGTTGAAGGGTATTTTAAAAATCAGTTTTATTCCAAAGATTTAAAACTAGACATGACTTAGAAACAATTTCTAGAGCACTGCTTTCTGACAATCTCGTAGTTCTCTACTGCATTTGAGTGCATTTTGTGGCCAGTCCATCGGGGCGTACCATGGGATTATGTTTGAATGTGTGATGCATCCTTTCTGGATGAAGGATGTGTGAGGGACCTTGAACCTCAGCTGTATTAAATTGTAGCGCCTCCAGTCAGTGCACTAGATGAAACTTTAGACACCCCAGATTTTGTTGGTTCACTGGTTTCCCTTTCCATAGCAGCCTCCAGCAGGAATGCACACACACACCAGTGATGGCATTGGCCGTGGCTGCCACCATTTGCAAATGTTCTCTCCCCAGCTGGAGCTGCTCTGGCCTGTCGAAATGCTATATGATTAAGGGTTTATAATACTTAATTTAATTTTTGAACTGACCAATGCAAGGCTCTATTAAAAAGAAAGTTAAAAAAAGAATGCAAAAGAGTAATCATTGCTTGTTTGCTCCCTGTTGTCATCTGTGGTCTTGGAAAGACCTTATTTGAATGTGGCGGAACAAAGGCCCTTTGGTCCTCATCAGTGTTTGAACTGTCCTGTAATTCCTCTCTCTTTTGTATCAGTGAGGTCCTTTGTAATCTGCTCCTGACCTTTCTCAGAGCAGGGTGCGCTGAACCATGATGTCCGGGCTCGCTTGCTTCAGAGTCATTTGCTGACTGAGAACTGGCCTGAGAATTTGTTGGGTGCTAAATGTATGGCTTTGAAACTGTTCTCTAGTCCGATTGATACCTGTGAATGATAACCAGTCCTGTCCGTGGGAGTGGGGGTAGAGCCCCAATCATTTTGGAAAATGATTTGTGATAAAATGCCCATCATCTCCAGAATGGCAGAGGTGGTTGGTAAGAGCCTGCTGGAGTGAACAGGCTCTCCAAGAAATGGCCTAAAAATATTTTGCTCCCCAAAGGACAGGTTATTTGAAACAGTGCTTTAATGGACATTTGAAACACATCGAACTGCTTTCTCATTTAAATTGTTACCTCCTAACGTTCCAGGGGATCCCAGATTTGAAAGGAAAAACCTGGCACGGTGTTTCTTGCGATTGTCCTCTCAAGCACACTTAATCCAGAGTTCAGAGTTCGGTGCAGAGAACAAGAGTGTTTCTAAGCCATTGACAATTTTGACAATTTTCTTTCTTTCAAGTTGTGCTTCTTTCTCCTACCACCTGGCTGTAAGTCAAAGACGTGGAAACCTGAAATGATATGCCGCTCCTAGCTGCTGGCCTCCTGCCCCACTAACCATTCATCTGCCCAACTTAATGCCTGGTGGTGATGACTATTATGTCCAGAAAAAGAGATGTTGGGATTCCATGACAAAGCTGCATTTTATAAAATTATCGGAGACCCCAAAACGAACTTCGTGCTGACCATTTCCTTCTCTCTACATGCTTTCCCTTGCAGAGCCCTCAAACACCCCATCTGCTCCCCTTCTGCACCTCTCGTGCCCTTTTTACATCTTTGCCTGATTCTAACAGGGTAAAAAGACAGCCAACCTCACGCATGATAGCAGAACTGATTCCTATGTTTTAAAAAATCTTCTTTGAATCTAGAAGCCAGAGAAGATTTTTTAAAGACTTTAGTTTGGGATAAACGTCCAGATTAGCCACGTCTGTCTGCATCAGAGGGGAAATGGGACTTCCAGGGCAGCTCATCCAGTGCCCTCAGAGCATTCTGCCTACAGCCCCCACTCCTGAATCCTATGGCAAAGTCCCAAAGCAAGAAACTCAAATGGCAAGAATAACAAAAATAGTGATTCATTTTATTGGTTCAAAATGGTTTCCTCTATGGAAGGCACTTCATAAAATACAAAATACAGTGCAAAGTGCTTTTGCCTTCTCTCTTGAATGAGTTGGTTTTAGGAGAAGGAAGAAGGGAGAGAAAGTCAGATGCAACACATTTAACTCCAAAAATCAGGTTCATTGTTTCTTTTTTAAAACTCATGAGGGCCAGCACGTCTGGCCAGTGTTGCACCCAGACCTTTGCCAAAGTGAAAGTTCCTTCGGGAGAACCTGGTTGCGGAAGCTCTCCCTGGCTTTTCCGGGAGTGGCCGCCTGCGAGGCGTGGGGTGGGGGCTGGAGGAGAGAATTTGCATTCTGGGCCTGGACTGCATTTCGGTAAACACGGTGATATTTCAGTTTGAAAACGAGAGGAGCTGGCCTGAGTATACATCAGTGCCTCTTTGATGGCCTACTTTCCTCAGTGAGAATATTGGGAATACTTGAGATGGAACAAAAGTAATGTGTCCAAGGAAGCAACAGCTGCTTCTCAGTGTGAGATCCCATGACCACTGCCTGAAGCTTCAGGGTTTCCTCTTGCTTTTAACACTCTCTTAAACCTCCTCTGTTGGTAATAATAGATCCCAGAAAGGGGGATAATAAAGCTGCAATTAACTTTCTTGTATGCACCCTTCCAATCTAGTACTGTATTCTTCAGGTGTTTTGCATTTACGTCTAAGTCCTTGGGAAACAGGTATCATGGAGAGAGAAATCCTAGGCCATCACTTCACAAATATCCCAAACAAGATACTCTTTTCAAACAGGGCTCCCTCTAAGTGGTCATGAGGGAAGGTGATCCGTTCTTTGTTGGGGACTGTTTATACAATTTTTTTCAACTGTGAGCTTTGGAATCGTAAATTGCTTTGACTCCAGCTTCTGTCTACTGCCATAAAATGGACCCCACATCAGAATAATGAGGGTGGTATGTCCGCACACACCCGGCTGTGTGCGCGTGTACCTATTGTACCTTCGCAGAAGGAAAACGGGCTACTGACGTTTCAGAGGAGTAGCCACCAGTGCCTAATATCTTTTTGGGGGGAATGGATGCTTATAATCGCCAGTACATTGAAACCATACTGGGAGTTCCACATAAAGGGGAAGGGCTGAGGGTGGGGAGAGGGGACATTTTAATCCTAGGCCTTTGGACCAGACAGAATAATTTCTGCAAATCTAGGTCCTCAGAGGCTTTTGGGCTCATTGGCTGGTTCTCAACCTTTTTTTCCCCGCCCCCCAGCATGCATTTCCTGTACTCAGACTTAATTTTCTTACCTTTCACTTCTGCTTCATTCCAGGGAGGAAAAGTACACCTGTTATGGCCAAGATCTCCTTGCTAACACAGAGGCAAAAATAAATGTTGAATATTTTTGAAGCCTCCCCTCCTTCCCACAAATCTCCCCAAACTCCTTCTCTCTTCATCCCCTCCCTGCTCCCACCACACAACTTCCCAGCCACCACCATTTTCCTTTCAAATCTCTATTACCCTCCTAACAGTTGGCTTGAAGAAATTTATTTTTGCACTATACATTTTCTTTTTGCCAGATGTGTCTAACAAGTGTTTGGAGAGACCTACTCCCAGCCCCCTCCCCTCCCCTGCCTCCCCGGTCACATTCTCTCAGGCCTTCTCTGGTATTTATAATATATCACAGAAGTACCCAGTCTTATAGCCCTCGGTTATGCCTTTTTTTGACATTTTATTTTTTTTAAGCTTTTTATATATATATATATAAATATATTACTTTGTCAAGTTTTTTTGCTGTACAAAAGTCTTAAGATTTAAAACTATTATTTGTATTATATGATGGTGGTATGTTAATGTTACAAAATTATTAATGAAGAAAAAATTTATTTTTGTTACTGGTCTGTTTCATAATTCTTTTTTAAATTGGTATATTGTAAGATATCTATGCAAAAAATGTTATGTGACGCATTTTTATTTAAGAATGTAATATGTGTAATAAACAGTAGAATGTGTTTGGCCTTGGAATGCCTTACTGTATTTCTCCTTAGCTTACTTCACTGGGAAAGAAAAATCCTCAGAGAGACACAAATGAACCCTTATATACCTCATGAGAATTTTCTTTCTCAGAGAGAGAAAGGGAAGGCAAAAGACTGTATGAGGTTGTTTTTCTTTGTTTGGTAGATTGTGTGTGTGTGTGTGTGTGTGTGTGTGTGTGTGTATTTTATGGTTTCAATGAGGTGGCTCAGTGCCCAGATAGGACGGAACACTGAAGACGGTTTATTTCTTTGAGGGGAGGAAAGGAGCAAATTGTTGGAGGTTATGAAAAGCAATATTTCAGAATGAGGTGGGTTATGGGATGTTATTTGTTTAGAGGGTTGGGGGAGGCTTATTGAAAGCAGTTTATTTGGTGAGCGAGGGGTAAAGTTTGTTCGGGGATAGTGCTGAGTGGAAGTATATTTGGGAAGGATGGCTGGAAGCAGTTAGTGGAGTGTGGAGGGCGCAGGTGGGGCCACAATTTAGGGGAGCGGTGGGAGGAGCCAGTGTACAGGAGGCGGTCGGGAACCAAGTGGGAAGAGCTGACTAATCAGAGGCAGAGGAATCTGGGTGCCTGTGCGTGGTGCAAAAAGTTAGCTGCAAACACAAGCCGCCTCGAACACTGAGAAGCGGGAGATGAAAGGCCTAGGGGAAATTCTCAGAACTAAAGAACTGACTCAAATCTCCTCCACACACGACTTCCAGGAAAGAACAAAGTCAGGAGGACGGTAGAGAGCCTAACGTATTATCCCAGCGTCCCTTGCAGGGTGACTCCCCAAGAAAAGTTGAATCGTTCACTGCAAACAATAAACGCATCTGTCGCGTGCAGGGGACACGGTGCTACTCAAGCTTTCTTATCACACTTTGGACTTACGGGAAAGGACACCTTGGTGCATCACTTCTATTCTCCATCAAATGAGTCTGACAAGAAACTTCCAGGACTCTGGCCGCAGAGACTGAGCCGCTGCGTTGGTACAGTCAGGCCTCGGAACAGGAAAGCAGGTGTGAGGAGTGTTGCAGTGGGTTTGCGTGGAGCTGAGGGATTGTGTTCTCACAGTAATAAAACTTAAGGTAAAGAGAACAGTTGATGCTGCAGGGGCCAGGAAGATGTTTTTGAACATGGTAAATATCAGTTGCCACATCATTCAAGCAGGTAAGTGAGCTTGCCGGGCAGCAGGGCAACCCAGCGCTAACTGACAAGAAACTGCAGGGTCCAGGGGGAAAAACGCTGGGCCCAGGGTTTGCAGGCTACTGGGCCCTGGTCATTTAGTGGATCCATCACAAGATGAGTAATTTAACCATCTCAAAACCAGAGTCGCTTGCCTATGAAATTGCTTTGCATGGGGAAGTGTAAGACAGCTTTGTCGTATTGCTTAGAACAAAGCTGATTATTATGTAATAGGCCTGACTTGAAAAGGGTGTCAAATTGGACATTTTAGGTGGAGGGCAACCTGTATGGTGCTGAAATGTTCAGAGGAGAGGGCAAAGTCTAACCTATCTGGAATAAGGAAACAAGATGGTTTACTAAGTGAATACTGTATTCTGAATAACTGGAACTTTCATATTTAGAAACATCTTCTGCTTAAAATATATCTAAAAATAAATTACCCACTTTACAACGTTTCTGAGCATCCACTTTTGCAATGTAGTCTAAATTCAGGGGTGACTCCAAGCTGTGGGGTTTCTTGACCCCACACTAAATGGCTCCACACTTCATACTGAGGGACTGCACGCTCTTTGCTGGGCTCTCCCTATTTGCAAGTTGCAAGAAGCTCTTTGTGTCCCTTCTAACAATCTTTTTCTCCACATCAACTAGAGATACTAGGGAATCAACCTTGATAAGTTGTACAAAAATAACTATAATTTGAATTTAACAGGCAGTCATCTGAAAGTGTAACCTGGATATTCTCAGAAAGTGGAGTGTATGAAGCTTGAGACAGCTGTAATCTGAGGTCACCTATCCAATTGGGAGTTTGGGCTAATGGAAAGGAATCTCATAAAGAGCAGAGGATTGATAAATAATTTAGTACATCTAGCTTATCTTCCACTTATGGTGATAGGTTCAGAAGAGGAGATGGCTACAACTTTTAACTGAGGCAAGAGTTTGAGGTGACTGTTAGGTGATGGTTTCCTAGGTTTTCCATGATGAGCCAATTCACCATTCCTTCTCTGACATTAAACATTTTATCTGAGCTCTTAGACACCGTCAATATTGACTGGCCTGAAAAAAATCTGTCTGATCATAACGTAGTTACACATACTACCACACTCTATTTAAAAATAATGAAATGATACAAAGACAGTTACAGGAGGGTGGGAGAACAAGATTTATGTTTGTATAGAATTTGTCGCTTCATATACACTGCATTTGAGCTGCCCAACAAGACTGCATAGTAATGACCCTTTGTCCTCACAGATAGAGAAACGGGGGTTCAAAGAAGGCATGTGACTTTGTGAAGGCACAGGGGAGACAGCAAGTGGTGAGCTGACCCATAGGTCCCCTGACTCTCAATCTAATGCACCTTCCCCTATTCCTCACTGATGCTGGAGGTTAACCAGGAGCTAACTCGATGCTTATGTGTGTCTACCATGATGTCGCATTGACCACCCTGACTTAATTTCTCCATTTCCTCTCCATTAGTCACAGAAGGTAACCGTAATATAGATATATCATCACATACTAAAATTGGAAGGGATCTTGGAGATCGTCAATGCCACCATTGTAAAGTAATCTGAGGCTCAGAGAGGTTGCAACTTGCCCAAGGCCATACAGCACATCCTCTTTATAACAGGAGTTAGCCAAGAGTTGTTGATATGCAGGTCTGCTAGTCTTGGTGGTGTTTCTTAAACTTTAATCACTTGAGTATGACCTTCAAGATTATTGCCATATCCTTGCACCATTATTTCTTTAATATTTTTCTTTAAATTGACCCACTTTTTAAAAACTTAAACTGTGTTAGCTTTGTCCAAAGCAAAAATAGTCCTAAAACCACTCTTTTGACTGTTTTTCCTTTAAACACAATGGAAAAATTAATATATAACTCAAAATAAAAAAACTCATCTTTGTGTTATTTTAAAAGACTCAATTACCACTGGTGGTACTGGAGAGGCATTGTTCTATGCCATTTTCTAAAATCTATTCTGTACCATTTCTCTTTAGCTAATTATTTAGTCCATATGATGCTCCTTGGAGCACATTTCAAATTGAATTTAACACTAAGTGCATGTGAAAATTTAATAGAGACTGATTTGATGACTGGGAAGTTACTTAAGGACCCGGAGGTCTCTCAGGAGGAAGAAGCTAGCGTGGCCATAGAGAAGCGAGCATGCACTCGCCCTGCTGTCCCATTCTTGGGACCCCCATCCTCCCTCAGGGACAGGCACTCTCAGTAGAAGGACTTGTGGCCAAGTGATGCCATTATTCTAGGAATGGAGGCCTGACCATTAGTCATTGACTGCACAAGGAAGTCACCCTCTCACGTCCACAATCAACAGTCAATGCCTAGAAACAAATGCTATAAAAATGCACTTCATGTGCTTATAAAGTGGCTTTAAAAAATGTGCTCGCTTTTACGACACGTTTTCTGGGATCACCAGGTCACCCCCTATACATACACACAATTCAGCCCTAAGATGTTTTTCTAGCCAGCTTGCCAGGCACCTGATATTCTACTATGAAATATTTCTTTGTTGCTTAAAGGCTTCCCTATTTTTAAACTACAACGAGCCAGGAAGAGAGAACCCTTTATGTTTTGTCATGTGTACTATAATGTGAATCAGTTTATTCTTTCCTTTCACAAGAAACAGAAAATACATCTCTATGAAGGAACCTTGAAGAGATGGTTTTAAGTACAAGGAGGAGGAGAGATGGGGATTATGGGTAAGAAAAAAATATAGAAGCAGGTGGCCAAGGCTGGGCCGCGGGAGGTGGGGAGGGCTAGGCGGCAGGCAGGCAGTTCTTTGCCCATTGCTGTGGAGACACAGGATACCAAAGACTTCAGAAAGGGACTGAAGCAATATTTTGTAGCCAGCGAAGTCTCCTATGTGATCAAAATGAGAGTCTACAGAAACCTGGGTCTGCAGAGCTCACCACAGGAAACAGCTCCAGTACATAGGTGTCACCTGGTTAGATAATAATGGCAGATCTCTAGCTATGGGCTTGATTCTTTCTGTTCCTTGAAGCAACAACTTCTGGGGTCCTGCTGCTGTGAGTAGAGCATCAAGGTTCCTTCATAAAGATGGAAACGTATATGAGTCCCTGGGGGAATATTTAAAGGAACATTATTTGTGGGCTCTAATATCAGAGCCAAAGCAATGATGATGTATTTTCTGTAGCTAAACAGTATGCTGTGTTCTTGGGGTTAAGTCTGCAGACTGTTCTGAGAGGTACATGGACTGGGATTATGGGATTGCTAAATCAAAGACCCCAGGCTATAAGAAATAAACGCCCCGATCTAATTTCCATGCTCAGGTGAACTCATGGAGGCAAAGACCTAAAGATTTGCCTTACTTGAAACCGTAAATGAATTGACTCAGTGTCAAATTTGTTACAAAATCGTTTTTCATCCCTGCCTAGAAATATCTAATTACACTCTAATGTACATAGTATATGATGACAATTTTAATAGATGGTCAAAATTTGAATCTTAACTTTGGTTCTGGGAACTTTTAACACCTTTCTGTTCTCAATCTTGATTTTTGTGTGTGTTTTCATTTTTCTTCCCATTTACTCTCTTTTCCTCTTTCCTTTCTCCCTCCTTTCTGCCTCCTGGTGTCTGCAAAAAAACACTGTGAGGAACCGGCCCCAAAGCCCATATTGGGCTTCCCTCTGTGGTGCTGACCTGGCCCTAGGTACGCCTTCCTCCTCCCCACCTCCTCTGTACCTTTAGAGGACCACTGTCTCCCAGTTGGAGGGTGTCCATTTTCCAGCATTATTTAAAATGGTGCTTCTAGAGAATAGTTTTGGTTGTTTCCCTGG